TTTATTTATTTATTTATTTATTTATTTATTTATTTATTTATTTATTTATTTATTTATTTATTTATTTATTTATTTGGAAGCAAGCTTTGGAGCCTTTTTCTAAAGGCTGGAGGATTTGGTAGGCTCACCGCCGTTCTTCTTATTAACTTGTTCAGGTACGTCACCTGATACGTCCGAATGGAAACTAGACTTTGTGACAATATGAACACACCCCCTTTAATAAAGTCACCGCCGTTCTTCTTATTAACTTGTTCAGGTACGTCACCTGATACGTCCGAATGGAAACTAGACTTTGTGACAATATGAACACACCCCTCTTTAATAAAGAAAGCTGCTCTACGTCCGTGTTTTTTCTAAATCAACTGCACAAAGTATTTGAATCTTTCTTGTTGACGTACTGGTCTTTCAATAGAAGTTCAGGAAATCCACATGGATGAGAATGTTGCTGGTGCAGTCCTGATTTGAGAATAGCTGTGGTTGGTCGAAAAACAAAACGTGGGCTGTAACATGCACGAGATGTTTTTGAAAAGGGCATGAAATCGTAACCTTCGGAAAAGAAATTTCTGGTGCATTCTGAGCCGAACGTTAGTTCATGACAACGTTATTATCCTGATTGACAGAGATGGGTCAACCATAAATACTGGTGATCAGGTGTTGTGCGGTTCTAATGAAGATCTCTGAGGTCATTAGAAATGACCGAGGAAGTTTTTTCAATATGCAGACTATTCAATCAAGCGGTGCTTCAGCAATCCATATTTGAACACCACATAATTTTTGACATTGTTTCAAATGGAATTTTTAGTATATCTTCAGAATGGAAATTAGCTTTGGCTTTAACTCTGGGTACCTTTGGTTTACACACCACAGGAGCTTGTTCACACTGTTGCCCATCTTCAAACGTCTAACGCACGATTCGTTACATTACAGTGGATCATCGGTCCCAAGGTTCCGATAGAGCTATTTCACAGATTTCATTTGGCCAGAGGCTAGGTCTGGTTCTCCAACTCCGATCCTTGTAGGGACGTCTGATACACTTACTGATGTCTTCAGTGGGCTGCGTTCGTCATGTCTTCACCTCCTTGACATGGCCAAAAACAACCCGCTGCTGGCTTCTTCACAGGTCGGCTTAGCAACACCGTACCGCGCCAAGTGTAGCGGTGCGCCTGCTCTCTTCAACGTGAACCTGTCATGAGATGCCAGCTAGCATGCTGATTCATTCTGACTTCGGACCGTTCCAGCGTGTTTATGTGACAATCATCATCGGGAGAATCGATAGTCTTCCGACTTACTGTGACTATAAGAGTGTACAACGACCAAAGACAGTGATAGGCTCCACATAAAGTGAACGTAAACACATACTGGTGCGCTCCACCAGTTTTGTTTGCCGGAACTATCAACATTGCGCCACCAACAAATGAACATTTTAAAGACTGCATTTGAACTGGCTTCCCCTCTGACCAAAGGTCACCTGAAAGGACGTTTCTTCTGAAAAGTGGTTCCTCCTGAGAGGGTAAGCAAAGCAGAAAACGCTTTCTTCTTCGAGAACAACACATGCTATCATGTGTTGTACCTTTGTCCTCGAGCATCTCGCAAGCGGAACCGTGCTTAGAATACAAGACCTATCAGCTTCAATTTGTTTTGGAATGCAGCTAGTCGCAGTGTGAACATGCATTGTAGTCAATGGCGACAAACTGTTGCGCCCAGATTTATAACATGCAAATGATCATTGCAAATGATTTGTGAATGCGGAACCCCTGCAGACGCACCTTAGCATGAGCCGCTTGACAACATATACCGGCCATCCGTGTGAACATAGGCATGTTGACGTTGATGGCCGCGTGAACCTGAGTAAGGAAACCTTAAGGGACACCCAACGACCATGTATGTCAGTATTTCACGCCGCTACCCAACAAAAGGCCAGGCGAACGCGCAGACCCATATAAGGACATAAAAAGTGTAACTGGTGTACGGTCTTCGAGAGTCATTTACTCAACTTGCAACAGATATTCATTCAAAAAAGACGCATCTTTGAGAGCCTGACCGAGAGTACACACTTTCAGTTTCTTCTGGCCAAAATATGGTTGTGGTCCATCGTACGGCAGGGGGTTAATGTCTCCAGGACTAGCAACTTCTACGAAGGCTTCAAGAAACTAACTCAAAGCTCCTATCCCGGAAAACGGTCCTCCCAACTAGGAGAATCCTACTCTTTTCTGACATTGTTCCCATTCTACCGTTAGTGAACGTTGACAGTAATGTATGCCAACACGTAGTAAAAGGATTTCACACAAGGGTACGGACTATTGGCGAAGACACACGACCTTACAAGGTAGAATCGCCCCTACACACTCCACTTTTTATACTTATGAAAAAATGAACCTTGATAAGGTCAGCGTTTTCAGGGATACCATACTGCGCAAATCCGTACCAGTTCTTCTCTATGATTTGGGACAAAAGCATACTATCGAGATGTTCGTTTTACTGAAATCCTTGACGTTCCAGGTTGTAAAGTGTCGGTGTAACCGAGAGTCCGTATCTTTTGGGATCACTTTTAGTTTTTGTTCATACATCGATCGCAGTACAACAGTCAGCATGCGACAGCAAGCTGTAAATGCTTGTCCCCGGAATTCCATCGAATCAATAAGTTGTTGGAAGAAAGTCCTACTGCGAGCATGACAGCGGTGAAGCACTAGCGTCAGTTGCTTTGACATGAGTGATCAAACAGAGGATGGAGGGAGGTTGAACGGGCTGGAGGACTTACTAGGGTAGAATGCCGCAGCATTGTTCAAGCCCCAAGCAATAACTATGGCAAGATCCGCGTTAAGCCCATTGTAGAGTATGGACGGAAAGGCACATCTAGGAATAATGTCCCAAAAGCAATCTTATGAGTAGTGTATTAGCGTCAGTGGGTCATAAAACTGCTTGCTTCTGACTTTTCAACCAACCTCTGCCAGCACAAATTGAGTTACGTCATGGAATCATCCTGAATGTAAGAAAGTTTTCCCTCGGTAACAGACTACTTGAGAGGTTGTCGAGTAGACGGATACGAATAGACGTACGGCTAAGCTTGTGGGCCACTAAATTAAGGCTTTTAGCTAAAGCCAACAAGACCGTGATTTCTTAACGTCCATCCCAACTGCCCCACCCCAGAAAACCAGGTGACTACGCGACGCTTGTTAGACATGCCTTATTTGATTCCATGGATTGTTTATTCCTCAATGCACAATTAGCGAAATACATTCAGTTGCGTACCAATTCGATCTTCACGGGAGACTCAGTTGAACCTATCGTTTATGACAAACCAGATTGATGTGCAAATAAGTGTATTTCACTCATTTCGTGCAATCTGGGTTCAAGTAGAACACAAGGCTGATGGAAACTGAGAGACTGGGCCTAGCTACTGAGCCTCAAGAAGGGTGAAACTGGTCGTGGGCTGTCGAGGAGCTTTCACCAACCTCATGAGGAGTGTGTTACGTCTGCACGATATTCAAACACAAGCGGGGCTGTGTACTCATTTTCTTAAGCTGGCTTATCCAGGATTATCAGCACTGCATGTCAACAGTCACGACCAGATCGTATTACCACTAACTGAGGGGAGCGTTTTGCCGCTTGCTGCATCAGCCCAATCTGAATTGTCATACCTGAGTACATCATCAGATATACTGGGCTAAAGGGCGTGCCTCGGAATATCCTATTACAACCTGGAGTTTAAACCAGTGAAACACCATTAGCAAGCCTACCGTTACCATTTAAGAGAATTTTTGCGCTCAAGAATGAATAGTTGACCAGAGCTTCTCGGCTTAATAGCACCAAGTTCGGCGTGAAACTAATTTGTCAAAATATACCTCTCAGCATTCACTTATTAACAGTCCTCATGTACCAGCGGGACGAATCATGGTTCGCTGCACAACCGAGAACACTGGGTTGTTTAGTGAAGTCCAGCAGTAGTGCACGAAACTGACTTCAATAAACTGAAAGCGTGAGCTGAACGAAACTGTGGAAGCTACACCCACCGTACGACAAGTATGCGGTTCTTACAGTTGACATTGATGATGATGATGATGCACGAAACTGAAGGTGACGGGTGGATTGATAGGGATGGCAGGTGCAGGCGATCACTGAACCACAAGCAAACACAGAGTACCTCTGGAGAACGCAATCGGAATAGTAGAGCATATCCATAGTTTATTCAACCAACCTGGACAACAGCGCTGTCTTAAAGGGGGAACAAATATCCGTGGGAGTTCTCCCCCCATTACGTATTCACTTTGGGTAGGTTATGGTTGGTCTTTTCGTCTGTTTGTGCTTTTTTCAATTCATTCTCCCAACTGTACAACCGTTCTAGTTTTCAAATCCAATCGTCGGGTACTTACAAGTCTCAGAAGCACGCGATAAGCGCTGCTAATCACTTCCACAGCCACTCTTCCACGAAAAACAGAAAAATCACTGGGCAAAACTTGACGATCGAGATCCGTGGACCAAATGTTGCACCGATAATGGGTAGCTAAAGCCCGCGTTTCTTAAAACTATGGGTCTTGAAGGTCTAGATATTAAAGTCAACGGAGCACCTGACTGACTATATACGAGGGTCTTATGCGTACCTTGCGCACCAGTTCTCTTATTTTTGAACAATTGTCCAGGCATCCGTATCGCACATCATTTTTCCGTGTCAGTATAGCGGCCGAGCGATTCTGTCTTTATCTTGATGTGGTAATCAGGTTCAGGTGCTGTAATAATCTGGCGGTCAAAATCTAATTCTAAATAAGAAAGTCTTAAAAGAGGAAAACCAGACAAAGTGCTGAGCTGTGATAAATCACATTAAGACATTGTTGTGATCTAAAACAGGTCACAGGTCTTTCAAAACTGATGCGGAGATATAAATATGGGCCACCCATACAGAGAAAAGTTCCATCTGAAGGAGACAGGGTTTCCTGGTTTCACCCAAATAACTGCTGGAACGCATGCTGAATCTCTGGAATCATGTGCGCCGTAACCATGGAACGACCATATTTGGTGAACGCCAGATGGGAACAACGTCTGGTTAGGGCACACGCAGCTAAGGAGGCGCCCACACCAACCGGAAATGGCAAAGGGCTGTAAAGAAAATAACGGAAAGGCGAGTGGAATGAAGAACTTGCTAAGGATTTTGATGAGTCAAGGCAGTGCAAATATTACTTGTACACTGAGTCATATCAAGATTGAATATAGAAAATTGAGACAGTAACCTACAATGACCAATTTACTAGCCTTTAAATGGTTTTGTATGAAAGAGATGAAGCTCGTTTGAGTCTCATTTTCATATCAAGCTAACATGCGAATAAATTATAGATACAACAGATGTATTAAACAAATCGTTCAACTGTAACACCCTTTCGGTGCCTAGCTGCCATGCCACCTGAAGGAAACACGAGAGCAGGGATACTGCCAAGTTGCCCGAGTCCGGTATGAAACGTAACCGCAACGTGTTCTATAGATATATCATAAGACAGAAGTTAGCTGTCGCCTGATAACATTGCCCAAATAATTATATGCCTCTGAACTAAAGAAAATAAACTCGGAGGTTCTGAGCCTTGAAATCAACTGTAATTCTCAATAAAACTCATGGGACCACCGTTTGTCAGTAACGTGTTCTGCAGGAATTCCACTTCTCGTCGCAGTTACAGCAGGACTTTCTTGCGCTGTAGAATGTGACCTTTACGAGCCCACGCTCATCAGCTGTCGAACCGAGGCTCGAGAACTGTAGATAACTTTCACTCCATGTGCTCTCGCGGTAAAGATAATGTTTTAGTTAGTTTAAAACTAGGCGTATCAAAAAAAGGCAAACTAACAACTGATTCATGCCTATCTGTGACCCGCAGAACTAATAATCGTTCAGCTGTAGCCCACCATCGGTACCGAGCTGCCAAGCTACCTCAACAAAACCCGAGCGCTTAGATTCTTACAAGCCGCCCAGGCCTGGACAGGAGCAGTCAAAATGCCGAGATGGGACCGCGAACCTTCCGGTCAGTAAGTTTACATCTTAACTGCTGAGCCGTCTCCAGCTGAATCAACAAGTTAAGGTGACTAATAGTGATAAAGTTGACTAGAAGTAAATGATATAGAAAAGTTGATGAAACAGGTCTTTGAAATCTCGTCAATTGATTGTAACTCCATCTCCAAAAAAAGTAAAACCAGATTGTCTACGCTACTTGTGTTCTATATGGACCACAGGCCTTCCTGTGGGACGCCTACACTGACAGAACGGACCACAAAACGCGTATATTTTAACACGGCTCAGTGGTTAGAGCGCGAATGTACTGCCTGGAAGGTTTGTGGTTCGAACCCGACCTCTGCCTCTCGACCTTTCCTGTCTAGGTTTGGGCAACCTGACAGTATCCCAGCCCTCGTGCTTCTATCGGCCAGGCACCGAAAAGGTGTTACAGCTGAATGATGATTATTATCACTATTTACTTCACCGTTCATCTGAAATACCATGGAAGCGGGCAATTAGGTTGACCTAATCAACTTTCAGAATTGTGTTGCATAACAGCAACTCCGAGGGTTTAGCGATCAGAGAAGCACAACCGACCAAATTGCACGAACCCTATGTTACATTCTTCGGGTGTCAAAACTGTCAAAGAGCAAGAGTCAAATTAAAAAGAACTTAATAATAATAATTGCTCAGCTGTGATATCCTGTCGGTGCATAACTGCTATGCCATGCGAAGGAAGCACGAGGGTCGAGATATCGCCAGGCTGCTGAGACCTAGAAAGAATCAGCCCAGATGTTGGGGTCGCGTTCGAAACACGGACCTTCCAGGTAGTAAGTTCACGCGTTAACCGCTGAGCTATCTCGAGCACAAAACAAACCCAGATACAGAACGAAAGAATGCCAGATAGTGTTTTGAAGGAAATTTAGTTACTCACTCCTAAGCGTTGCAATCTAACCCATATATCGAGCTCCATGGGTTCTGTCTTGCAGTAAGCAGCTGCTTAAGCCGAGATGAATGACGGCTAGACTCAAGGGTAGCTGAATATACAAACTCCGTGGTTTGTACCGCGAATCAAACTCCCTTCTGACGCGTCCCAAATGCGAGTAGGCGCAGCGAGTGCTAGAGAACGCCAGAGTAACCCGGTTTTCCACCAGCTCAGTTGATGAGTGACAGCTGGTCTCATTTTCGGAGCCACTTACTACAAAATTGGTTCTAAAGGTAACAACAGCTGACCGCAGTCGAGATTCATGCTGGATGGCAGCACACCTGTGTTTACCTATTAATATACAGCGGTGGATGCCAGATCGCTAGAACGCAAAGCTTCAGCTGTTTTTAGAAATTACGCTCTAGCAAACAAAGTTTCTCAGGTCACTTTGCAGTTTGCTGAGGACGATTTCAGTGAACAGCTTAAGCAGTCGCAACCCGGCTGTCGGTTCTTTTAACTGCCCATTCTACCCCACCACCTCCCACTAAGTGCCCTCGAAATTCGCGCATCTAAACTCATTAGGCCAAATCCAGTGCGGTTACGACCGTACGCAGGGAGCTTACATTGACACGATCTTTAAAAAACATGCAACAACGACATCGTAGGTTCTTGTTTGAGTACATACATTTCGCCTTGGGGGGGGGTTAGACTGCTCAATTTTCCAGACCAATTTATAGGCCGAAGACAGGCCAGTTGCGCCAGGTGCTTCGGTATGGGCTGTTCCTCAATCATGATGTACAGCAGAAATGTTAGAGGTGGCACTGTGGCCTGTCATATACACAGTATATACATATATATAGTATACAGATATCCAACTGATGGATACTGGATAGAGACTGCGAGATAATCCATGCCTCGCCCTGAAAATACGGCCCCATGCAACACAAACGTAATGAAAGCCTTGGAGCTATAGAAAAGTAAATAATGGTTGGGCGCAACGAATAGATGTCAGGTGAGTGAACTGAGTATAGAAACGCACTGTTGATAATTAGCATGCTTCGTGGTGCTACAAGAAAAAAGGGTCTACTTTGTGGTTTGACGGTCCTTATTTGAAAGTGATTTTTATGCAAAGACGAGAAAGGTGTTCTGCGAGAATTCCCAAGATCCTGGAAAAGACGCTTCTGAACATGGCCGTACGCAACAGCGAGAAGGAGGAAAGCATTCCAGGTACAAAATATCCAAAATAAAATGTTTGTATGAATGGACAACTATGCTGATGGTCTACGTACGGTGACAAGTCGATATTTGAGGTACATTTGTCGTGGTTATTTTTCCAAGCAGCTTAGTTTCCAGAAGAGCATGACCTACCCTTTGTTTGCCTGAGCTTGATGAAACCAATTGAAGAAAGTCACTGCAGCACCAGATAAAAGATCACCTTGACCTCCACAACGCCTGGGTGAACCTGGTTCTTGACATACCACGGCTGCAAAAACACAAATAAAAGAGGTCGACGGGAAGCAAGGTATAGTCAGACAAGGGTGGATAAAAAACGTCAGAGAATATGGAATATTGCATCTTGGCGCAACCGCAAGTTGATTCTCAGGTAATGTTTTCTATAACTTGTGAGAATTTCAGAATAATGCTTTCGTTCCGGCTGGTAACAGTATTACACGCACTAGCGTATTGTATTTGTGGAGGGTGGCGCTCCCACGGATAAATTGTGCTAGCCTGACAGATAGTGTTGAACAGACGTCAATTCGCCAAACAAGTTCTGCATGTCAAAACGGTATATCAGGAACGTGGTGGATGGCGCAAACTAAAAGGGATGGCGTGAATGACTTTTTCAAGCCACCGACAGAACTCCTGGGGACTGAAAAAAATCATTCATCGGTTTTCTACGACAAACAGATTCAGGAAACCTACTTAGCAATGGATCTACGCGACTTACTCGTATCTCCATTGGAAATGACATCAGTTGGTCCTTTCTGAACAATGGTAACGCCCCCCATTGCTTTTGCAAGCTTTTCTACTTCCGTGGTACCGCTGCCCGGATTGCAGCCGAGCTATTGTGAGTTGATAAGGGGGAACACTGTTGTTTACCACCGCCGTATATAGACGTCCAAATTCCACTACATTTGGTGTAAGTATCACAGTCTTTTTCTCCCGAACTAGCTGAGGAGTTTGCGTGACAATATACAGACCATCCGCATCAATAACCAGAGGTTTTTGTCCAGAACAATAAGCGACCATCTACCATAGGGAAATGGTGGTAAATCAGGATTCGAAGTACAGAATCAACCTTGGTGGCGATGTCTATATTAGAACCTAAGCCCAAACCAGGTCCGACGACAACAGCATGTGCCCGGTCAATCCACTTTTTTGTCTCATCGTAATTACTATCTCTACCGAAAAATGTAAACAAAACTAACTCACAGATCTGGATGAACAATCAGGTCGGGACTATAGGTTTTTATTACTGGTGCAGCTGCTTCAGCACATATAACGTGTACAAGATCGGCACCCTTTTGTGAAGTATATGGGCATGTGCAGGAAAACTTACACAATGCAATGCACTAATGCCCGAAAAGTAGGGTGCTCCAGTGTATCTGTAGTGGTAAGGGTCATTTCGTACTAACTCACTCTTTAGAACCTCCGATAACAGCAAGACGGCCCATTTCACCCTTGTGTTTGGCTGAAGACAGTGGTGGTATAAAGTCTTTTAGTGAATCGATCATTCTCGCAACGACTTGAACTACTGAGTAATTGTGAAAATAGGCAAATCTGAAAAAGAGAAAAGTGGCGTGCATATAATTTGGTTCGTAAATCAAGTACATGTAATAAAATAATTTACTGTTAGAGGTCTGACTGCTGCTTTGAGGTTGAACCATTGAATCCATAAGTATTTTGTAGAAACATTCTGGAATTGAGTGGTACGTCACGGATAATATACCACAAGGACTCCGTGAGTTATATCTGGACTACGTTGTCTAGCTGCATGAGCAGAGTCGAGAATCATCGAACCTAGTGGGAATTTTAGATGCTCCCCACTGTAAGACGACATGTAATTCGCTCCTGGCAAGCTGTAAATGTTGCCCAGAGGCACATCAATGAGTCTCAAGGGTTATGTGCACCGGGCTAAAGTAAAGGCTACATTGCTGTATGGTTGCGAGACATGGCCCCCGAGGACATATGATGCGGGACTGATCTCTCAGAAGTGTTGCTCGTCAGCTGATGTCAACGGATTCGTAACGAGGTCATTGAAAAACGAGTGTTTGGTTGTGTAGCAGGTACCTCAGTCGTAGAAAACATCCAGCAACACCAACTGTGGTAACTCGGGCATGTGCTACGTATATCAAAACGTCCACCGATAAGAGTGTATCTCCTTCAAAATGGCGCGAACTGCGAGGTGGACAATGTGTGACTTGGCGGATGGGTGTGAAAAAGATCATGATGTTGGTGCGGTTTACCTTCCAGGACGAGGTCATCGCTGGACTGCAACTAATCGATATTCGCGCTGCTAGTTTTTTTTATCAGATTACCTGGCTAGGCGCTTTAGGTCCCTGCACTACCTATTCTTTTTTTCAATTCAAGGACTTTAATATAATTAAACACACGTCTTGGTCGTTACAGCAGTGAATCATCCTCGTCAACACTAATGTTGCTGCCTCTAATGATGATGATTGTCTGAAGGACAATACAGCTGACCTCCTTCAGCGACGAATCTGAGTGAAACATCCGCAATCAGCAGCAGAAATCCGACACGAAATGTCAGTCCGCCAGTACGACAAGGGGCCCAGTCCGAATGACTTCCGAGCTGCGATGCTTGAAGGTGAACGGTCCGACAATCACGCTATATGGGATTTGGAACGAAAACAGAATGTCGGTGGAATGAGGCCATGATTCCGTCACTAAAAAGGGGGAAATACCACGTGCGAAAGTCATTGTGACTGAAGCCTCCACGGTGCCCTGTGGCACTATTTTGTGAAAAAAAGCGTTCAGCTGTAGCACCCTTCCGGTGCCTAGCTGCCATGCCACCGGAAGAAGGCACGTGCTAGGTTGCCCAAGCCTAGACAGGGGGAATCGAGAGGCGGAGGTCGGGTTCGAACCACGGACCTTCCGGTCGGTAAATTCGCGCTCTAACCACTTGGGCCATCTCGCCTTATTTTGGCACTATGTTGTACAGGGTGACAAATTATCGTGAGAATCAAACTGGGTTTCGCCCCAGCCGAGGATGCGCCGACCACATCTTTGTCTTGCGATAGGTTTTCAGAAAGCGGTACTCTTTCATACATTCAAAGTTGAGCATTTTTATCAACTCAGAAAGCGGTACTCTTTCATACATTCAATTTTATCAATCAGTTTTATCAATCAGAAGTCTATGACTCTGTCGATCGTCAGAAGCTACAGTGGTACCTAGTGATCCGAGAGATCTCTTTTGAATTTCCATTCCTTACAAGAGAACCAGTGGACGGGCACGCCTAGAGAAATTTTCCAGCTGCGTCCCCCACGTCCAGTGGAGTGAGACGGGGTTGCTGGCTATCAACACACCGTGTGACGGCAGCAGCAACCTCTATATTGCGACAACCCTGGCGTGAAATGAATTTCGAAGTTGAACATGTGAACTACACAGCCGATTCCAAACGTACACTTACATCCAGTGTCAGGATTGTGGCTAGGTGTAAGAAATCTGACTGATGTAGGTCAGTCGTGCATGAAGGCGACCACTGCAAATCCACTGGAAGCATATACAGTAAACCATATACATGTAGCCTAGAAAGCTACCGTTTCAGTTTCCAACTGCACTCAAATCAATAAGCAATAACTCCCTCTCCGTGCATAGCTGCCATGGCGAGATGGCTGTGGTTGGTGCGCGATTTTATTGACCAGAATGTCCGTGGATCGGACCCCACGTCCGCCTCTCGACTTCTCTTGCCTAGGCTTGGACGACCTGCCCAGCCCTTGTGCTTTCTTCGCGTGGCATGGCAGATAGGCATCGAAAGGGTGCTACAGTTGAACGATTGTTATTATTATGGCACCCGATGGAATTACAAGGGTTGAGGTACTGTCAGGTTGGTTAGGAATAGATGGGAACAGTCGTGATGCCAAGCTTGGGTTCGAATCACGGACATCCCAGTCCGTATGTTCACGCCTGAACCACTGAGCTATCTCGAGCTCAAGTGGTTTCCAAGGGAAAATACTTAATCCATTGTTGAATATTTGCTCCGTTCTTCAAAACGCTCCACTGTGCATTGCTATGTCACTTTTTTCGTTTCAGCTCACAGTACCAAAAACTTGGATGAATAAAGCCTAGTTTCTAGGCCCTCTGTCTCCGTTATTAGTCTGATTGCCGCCGCACTCCATCAATCGTTGAACATAAAACCCATACCATCTCAGGTACTGCTGCGTAATACGATACGAGGTTAATCCATAATGGCTCTTAGCAGACCAAGGTCCATTTGTGATAAACCACAAGAGACTAGACCACTGTATAAATGAACTTCAACGTTGTTTCAGCAGCATGTTGCCACCAAGGGAGGATTTATTCGCGTCCTTGTTGCCTGTCACAACGGAACCAAAGGGTCGTATTCCAATGCAATTCAGGCCCCCTGAGAGTCGTATTCGCGACCTCAGAGGAGGGACTGACCATGCTCGAACGCAAACATTGCATCAGAGGCTAGGCTTCTTGTATTCGCCGTCACACTGCTCCTGAAGTCAGGGCGAAACTCACAGACACCGTTACGAAGCTTCGAGAACGAATAGCTAAAAATAAAGCAGATTTATCCACCCCACCAAAAGCCAAGAATGCAATGATTATAGCTGTCGCTGACGTCACAAGCATTGCAGAGGGCCTCTCTTGGGAACCTGCAGGTCGTAGGAACGTTGCAGCGAAGATGTTGTAGGGACATGATTGTACTAATGAGAATCCGGAATATCAAGGGTGAGCGTGATGAGCTGGAGTATCTAGCGCTTCAAAGTGCAATAACAGAAACAGCAGGGACAGACTTGACTGGTGAATGATGTGCCCCACTCGGAAGTCAACCAGAGAGGATCGAATATGCTTCGGTGTTGCCGGACAGCTGGCCGCGGATTTTATTTCATCTATAAGGGATGCAGCGCCAACCCAAAAACACATCGCGATGCTGACATAGTGTTGTGACTTGCCGTACAGTCGTGCAACTACGTGTCAGTCCCTCGTTTCTGGCTCCACCCACTATGGTATATCAACAGGCATTAGCTTTATACAGCCCCTCAGGGAGATAAAGGAACACAACTACAACTGTATTCATAGCGTAATCACAGAATGTTTGAAAAGATAGCCCTAGGATCTCTGTGAAGCGGTGAGAAAGCGTCGAGCTAAAGGTTTTCAATCCAGATTGGCTAGAATTCTGACCAATCAGGGCAGGCCTCCGTATAGTCCGTCGCCCGCACGTGACACATCCGTCCAAGTGGTGTGATGTTCGGCTGTTACGGGACGGCTGGCTCCCGGACATGATCTGCGAGGGCAATAAGATAAATCATGTCACCACATACGGAAGAATGGGGAACAACGTTGCATCACAACCGCCTTCCACGCTTGGTGAACTGAAACGCATCGCCAAAGGTAGACACTGTCACGTTCTCCCTAAATGCTCCCGTAATCTACTGGAACTTTAGAAGCCGCAGGTTCGGAACCAATTTGTACAATGTGATTTTCTTCCGACAATCTCAGTCCCCATTCTCATATCTTGTTCGCGCGGTACGTTCGAAATCGGTTTCGTTTTTCCATCGTGCAAATTCGTGAAAAAAAATTTTCGTTGTTCAATCTATTCACAGAGTACACATGAGTAATTGTTGAATTTTATTACTTTTATTACTCTAACAAAACATTTGAGTGATAACCCTTTATATTTTGCGCACACCTATTTTACATCTAGTCCGAAACATGACGTCAATTCATACAGAATGCCCTCCGCAGCTATTGATAGACCACAATAGACGTGGTCGGAATGGCTGCCCGTCGAACGTCAAACACGGTATGCAATGCCACACCTGCAGGGCCTGGTGGCATTTCAAATGTATGGGTTTACAGGACGACCAGATAAGCCGACTAGCCAACTCTCTTGACCCGTTTGTCTGTGCCAGCTGCCTCTACGTCAAGGGTGCAATGCATAACGCAGCGAAGAGAAGAATCCCCCGAAGCGGTACCCAATCCCCAGTGCAGATGCCGAAAGACCACTGTCAGTGTTCCGCCTTAATCGGGATACTCGACGCGAAATTAGAGCGTCTTTCGAAGGCACTGGAGGACTCAGGCGCTAAGAATGCAGCGACCTGAACGAAAGTCGACAAGAGACTTTCCTCGCTGAACAATACCTCGCGATGTCCACACCGGGTCCCATGGCTGCGGAGAAAGTCATACAACTTTCTGACGCGGCTATAAAAACCGCCACAGCGTC